ATTATATTTCATATGTGAAAATTACTTCTTTGAGAATGGAAAAATTTTGTTATAGACTTACAAAGATTTAAGACGATAAATGCAAGATCAATATTTCTGATAAATTATACTGTTATTTTTTATGGGTAATATTGTTTCGGAATTATTAGTATTAATTTTCATAAAATCATGATTAATATAAAGGATATTGTTATATTTTAATAAGAATTTAGTTTTGACATTTGTGATTATTGTTAAAAGTTGTCACACTAAGTTATAAGCATTTTTTAACTGTAATAAATCCAGCAAATTAACACAGAATTAAAATAATGTTTTTGATAAGTTAAGTTTTAAAAAAAAATCTACAAGTTTTGTCCTTAGTCCTTAAAATATTGATATAATTGTCATATAATTTTATAAGATATCGAAAAATTGACATTTTATTAATTAAATCTATAATTTAGCAATCAGTTTTGTTTTTAAGGAGAACCGAAGCTGCAAAAATTTTCAAGCTTAGATTAAAGTGAGAATTCAAATAAATTCAATATTTTATTTATCTTATTAGGTTTTCAAATTTTTAATAATTAAATTAAAGTTTATATTTATTATTAAATTCTCTAATTTTTCTTATTTTTTCACAGGATGATTTATGAATAAAAACATTTTTATATTTTATAACAAAATTAAAAATAAGATAAGTATTTTAAAAACCTAATTACTAAAGCATTTATATTGATCAAATACAATTTTCCTTTTCTCTAAATTCATCATCAATTTGAACTAATTAGTTTTTTTTATCTTTATCTCCAATTTTTCAAATTAATCATAATTTTATTAATTAATACTCTATATTCTCTAACAACATTGTCCCATACATCAATTTTCTAATCAAAAAATTTGATTCTTATCAATATTAATTAATAAAAATCTTTGCTTTAGTTTGATTCTTAAATAACTCCCAATAATGTTCTAGATAAGAAAATTTATCAGACATATAAGAATAACATGCTTTCTTATAATAATATTAATGAAAATATTTATAATATATTTATAATTTCCTAAAAGTTATCTTCTAAACTGCTAAGAAGTTTATTGAATTGATATACTAAAATACTATAATTAAATACCTTAAAATATTAGATTATGTAAGATATAATTTGAATTATGATCTCCAAAACAAATATTAATTGTGTTTATAATTGTTAAACTTCGATTAATTAATATCATGTAAACCTTAACTAATTATTCAAGCAAATTCTGAAAAAATTCAAACTGAGTACTGAAGTATCCTACTCATCAATGAAATAAATTTAGTTTGAAATGGTTTAAAAAATACTAATGAAGAATAATTAATTGTTAAAAAATCAGGTTAATTTTGATTGATAGGGCGCTTTGAAAATTTTGTAGGGGATAAGTTGGTTATCTGATTAAGTTAATAGTTATAGGGTTATTCTACTGTCAAAATTATTAAAACAGTTTTACTATTTCATTAAAATTCATTATAAAAATTTAATTGTTTTAGTAGTCAAATATTATTAAATTCTATTAATTGAATTTGATAAATAAACTTTTTTTATTGCCTCTTTCTCTTACATAATGTATTATTTAATTAATATTTGTTTAGATATATTCATATTCTCAATCTAGAGTTCTAAACAGAGAAATATTTATTTCTACCAAATAAAGTCAATTCAAAGAAATAATTAATACGATTGTTATTTAAATCCACATTGGAATTACGAAGAGTCATTACTTAAACTTAATAAATGTGACTATAATATCTAGGTTTTTTATAATTAAAGTTTGTATTATATTCAATCTTCCAAATTTAAAATTAATTGTTTGTTTATCTGGCAAAATAACAATAATTTTCATATTTAATCAAAAATAGTATTTGTTCAATTCTCTATAATCTTAAATATGTAAATTAAAAATTTAATATCAATTAAAAATATCTTAAAAACTCAGCCAATACATTAGACAATTATAGATTACAATAATTATAATCCATATGAATCAAATCGATTCATATGGATTATTTTTTTTGAATCATTAATCATGCTGAGTCTAATTTTTAATTAATGACTAGAATTTAAAGTGATATATGGTGTCGTAATAAATATTAAATTATTAATCAATAATTTTTATTCTATCTTGAACACACCAAAGCTAACATATAAACAATTTAATAAAATTAAGAATTAAGACCGATAACAGATTATTAATAAATTGCACTGATAAAATCATTTATTAACCAAATCCTATTGTTTCTTAAAGTCAATAAAGCGATTATTTATATAAACCAAATTTTGATGAATATTTATAAAGGATATAATAATTTAGAGTTAATAATCCTAAAAAAATCAACAAATATGAGATCTATAACAAATATACTATATGTAAAAAATAATTAAAATTACAAAGATTCTAAAAAGGATTGACTGAAATAAAGTATGAATAAATTTTATTTAAGTACAAAACTAATCCGTTTGCTTGATTGAGTCAAACAAAATTTAATAAAGTATATAATTTTGAAAGATATCAATCCCATTGTAAATATTCTCAAATTCTATAAATTTGGATATATTGGTGACAGTATTAAGGCACTTTTGAAAGTGTAAAGATATAAATAGTTAATATTTAAGAATAATAATAAAAGTAATTCTCTAATGCCTTCTAATTTTGGTATTACATTTTAGAAAAAAGATTAATTTAAAAAGAAGCAGTTAATAAAATTTTATATAAACTATCTCATCAAAAAGAGATTAATTTATTTAAAATAGATAAAATAAGGGATAATGATTTCATAAAACAACATCAAACATATATATTTTCATTCTGAGTTATTAATATTGCTTGATTACAATTTAATAAGTAATTAAAAGTAAAAAAAGTCCAAAAGAAATTCAGAGACGATAGCAAAGCTTCTTCTAAATACAGTTCATTTTCTTTATATTGCTAGTAATATTAAGAGGGAAAATATGTGTTGATTTTTGCTGTTAGAATATCTAAAAGTTGAATTATCAATTAAGAAAGCATCATTTATGTAAGTTGAAAAATTGTTAGAGTTTATCTGAAGTTTTTCTCCCACACTAAAATAAACGAAAAGTAAATAAGAATATAGAGATTAATTTTACAAATATGCCAAAAATGCTTTTCTATCTTAATATAATTTCAATCTTATTTAATAAACAATATAGCCTCTAATACAAATCTAATTCACAAATTTAAATTCAATTCTTTTTTGGCGTAGATTGTAATTAAGAATTCTAATAAATATAGTTCTAATTCAGCTAAATGATAGTATTAAAATAACAACTTAAAATCTTGTTGAAATAATGTTTTATAATTTCATCATCCATTTAACAAATTGGCTTAAAATACGACCAATTAAATCGCTACTTTAATAAAATTTCTTGAGATTTTCATAAATTTGGAATCATCTTTTGGCAGCTTTCAAATTATATCGCCAATCCTGAAATTTATTACAAAGGGATTAAAAATGCTTTTTTAATTATATACAGATCAATCAAGATATAATTTATGTAATTCGAACTATGTATATATGATTGCTTTTTGTAAAATTATCTACTTATTTTTTAAAATTTGTAATAAATAGTATAATTATTTTTCACATTTCCGTTTTAAAGAATTGACATACATTCTTTCGCAATTTACTTGACTTAATGGAATTTAATAATTAAAAATGTATGCTTTCAAATGGCTAAATAATTTTATTGCTTTCAACATTATGATAATCTAAATACCAAACTATCTTGTTAAAATATAAATTTCTTTTAAGATAATATTTCTAAAATATGTATAAATAGTACATTTTTTTTGTAAAGAATATTTCATTAATATTAATTTATAGTAATTACAATAATCTTAAATAAGGTGTGACTTTTCCTTGAAAAATAATTTATATTTTTCTCCAAAAATCTTAATTCAGTCTTCCAAAATTTCTATTTGTACTGTCTTGAATTAATTTAACTTTCTTATTTAGTCCTTAGTTTTGCTTATTA